TTGTGCGTTAATGTCTGAAAATATCTTTCCAACTTATAAGCATATTATCGGTTCAGGATGGATGCGATACTTGAAGATGACATAACTGATTTGCTCCCAGAACTTAGGCCATACCAACGACGTGCAGCTTATTGGATGGTGCAGCGAGAGAGAGGAGATCCAATAACGTTGGGAGACAAGGAAGATAACCAATTCATTTCACCTTTGTCTGTCTCTGTTGGTTTCCATGACTCTGCTTCAAAAATGTTCTTTAACCCATTCAGGTTGGTAAAAAAGCATCTAACTAGTCCTTTTTATTTTATTTTGAATGTAGAACATATAGTTTAAGTTCCACTATTTACAGAAGAACTCGATTTAATCTAGTCCATTTGTCATGCTTTGGTTGTTTTTAGTGGAAATATCTCATTGGCACCAGAGTATTTTTCACCTCGAATTCCGGGCGGTATTCTTGCTGGTAAGAACAGTTTGCAACTTCGTTTTACCTCCATGTACTATAATCAAGAAAAATATTGTTGGGGGATAATTTAGTTTGGACTTGCTTTCACAAAGAGTACTTTCCAAAAACCTAGTTTTAAGTTTATCTACCTCTCAAATTTTTGCTCATGCCATTATCTTTTGTTAACTTATATGGTATTTTGTTCTTAATGTGGTAAAATACGAATGCCGCAGATGAAATGGGATTGGGAAAAACGGTTGAACTACTTGCTTGCATCTTTTCTCATCGGAAACCAGCCGAGGATGAAATATCCGTGTCTAATGGGTCATCATCAGTTATTGATGATTGTAAAACTGGTTTAAAAAGATTAAAAAGAGAACGTATTGAGTGCATATGTGGAGCTGTTAGTGAGAGTCGCAAATACATAGGAGTTTGGGTACAGTGTGACATGTGTGATGCTTGGCAGCATGCGGACTGTGTAGGTTATTCACCTAAAGGGAATGGTAAGAAGCCTAGTCAAGATGAAAAAGTTTCTCAAAAAAAAAGCAAAAAGGATGCAACGGAAATTGTTGTTAGACAAGGTGAATATATTTGCCAAATGTGCTCTGAACTTCTACAAGTCACTGCCTCTCCCATCTCTACGGGTGCCACTCTTATTGTCTGTCCAGCTCCTATATTACTGCAATGGCATTCCGAAATTACACGGTATTAGATTCTTCTCTACCTTTTTCTTCCCTCTGTTACGTTTTTACTATAGGAACACTTAACAAGATGACATTCACAAGAAGAAATTTTGTTTTTATCTCCGCATCATGTAATGTTAGTCCTCTTTTCCTTCTTTCATCTGTCATGTTGTAGCCATACGCGCTTGGGTTCTCTCGTAACATGTATCTACGAAGGTGTGAGGAACGCCTCACTCTCTGAAGAACCTATAATCGACATCACTGAACTCCTCAATGCTGACATTGTTTTAACTACGTACGATGTCCTCAAAGAGGACTTGACACATGACCATGACAGGCATGATGGTGACCGGCAGTGTCTTAGATTCCAGAAAAGGTGCGGCTGTATTTTGGATTTTTTATCCCTCGCATTTTTCATTACATGATGAAATTTTGTCATACCTTCTATAAGAACAAATTGTATTATTGAAATATTTCTTAGAATTTGCCTAATGTTTCATACTCATGTATCACGAGCCATTGTGAACAACACTAAATTTAATCTGATAGGATTGTTGTTTTATCTCCTGGTTTCATGCAACTGAAAAGCTTTTGGATAGATTGGGTAAAGATGTTGTATTGTGATAGGTACCCTGTTATTCCTACTCCACTCACAAGAATATTCTGGTGGAGGATTTGTTTGGATGAGGCCCAGATGGTGGAGAGCAATGCAGCTGCTGCAACAGAGATGGCATTGAGATTATATACCAAACACCGTTGGTGTATCACTGGAACTCCTATACAGCGCAAACTTGATGACTTATTTGGACTTTTGAGGTTCCTTAAAGCAGATCCTTTCGATGTTTCAAGATGGTGGATTGAAGTTATTAGAGATCCATATGAGGTTTGAGCAGAACAAACAGTTCATTTTCTACCTTTTATGGTTTTTCTTGTCTAACAACCTTCTTGCTTTGTTCAGAGGCGAGACGCAAGGGCCATGGAGTTTACGCATAAATTTTTCAAACAAGTTATGTGGCGTTCTTCGAAAGTTCATGTGGCTGACGAGTTGCAACTCCCACCTCAAGAGGAATGCGTTTCGTGGCTCAAATTTTCTGCAATTGAAGAATACTTCTATAGCAGACAGCATGAAACTTGTGTGAGTTATGCCCGTGAAGTTATAGAAACTTTGAAACGTGATATTCTCAAAAGAGGTACCATGGGGTGTGAATGGTGTCTTCTGCACTTTCCACCTTTGTCTTTACTTGCCTCTTAAAGTTCTCTTTCAGATGTTTGGTGCTTCCTTCTGTGCTGGCTGCTAAGTTTTTATCCCACTTGTGATAATCTACAGGTCATTCTTCTTCTGATAATCCTTTAATCACTCATGCCGAAACTGCAAAACTGTTGAAATCGCTCTTGAAACTGCGCCAAGCTTGCTGCCACCCTCAAGTAGGGAGTTCTGGTTTACGTTCATTGCAACAAACTCCAATGACAATGGAAGAAATTCTAATGGTGGGTTTGCAAGATTTAGCTTTTTGATCTTCGTTAGTTATTTGTGTTAATTGAGTTTTTAATAGGTCCTTGTGAAAAAGACTCAGAGCGAGGGAGAAGAAGCTCTTAGAGTGTTAATTGTTGCTTTAAATGGGATTGCTGCTATTGCCATGCTTAAGCAAGATTTTTCTGAAGCTGTATCATTATACAAGGAAGCATTGAATATAACTGAAGAGCACGCCGAGGATTTTCGTCTTGATCCATTGTTGAATATTCACATCCTTCACAATCTAGCGGAGATACTACCAATGGTCGAAAGCAACAGAGGAAAACTTTCTGCATCAGGAAGCCCTGAAAAAAGAATAGATGTAAAAGATGACGATCATCATCCTGCAGCGAAAAGGCAGAGGATCGGTGAGCTCGACACTGTAACTCATGTTTCTTCAGAAACTGCACAACAGTGGGAATCCAGTGCTCCAGAGAGTGGTTTAAAGAAGGATGGAGAGTATCATGAAGAGTGCAAAACTCTAAATATAGTTTGTGACTCATTGAAAGTGAAGTATTTATCCGCATTCAACTCAAAGCTTTCTGCCGCACAGCAGGAATTCAGAAAATCATACAATCAGGTAGTTTCCATAAAATTCTTCAAAACTGTTGCTTTTTTTGCTTTCTCCAGTACGCTTTTTGTAGCCTTAGCCAAAGAGTCAGTATAATGGCTTTATGGAGCCATCGCTTATTTCGTGGAGCTCATAATTGAAAAACTTTCAAGGTTTCCGAGTCGTTGAGCAATATGGGGAAACAACATTCGAGTTGGTGGTTGGATGCCTTACAACTTGCTGAACAGAATAAAGAAATCTCCAGCGAGTTGACCAGGAAGATTGAAGAGGCCATCAATCGAAGCCTAAACAATTCAAGCTCCTCCAGAGCAACTTCTCGGTTAGTGCCTTAAAATTGAAGTTTCCATGACTTCTTGTTGTTGCGAGACTACTTTTTCCACCTTTCAGTTACAGAAATTTGTCTGTTGATTGGTTTTAGGGGGCATATTTTCTACATGTGCCGAATTAATTAACACATAAGTCTGCAAAGTTATAGGAATAAGTGACCTGAGATTCTTGTTAGCTTTGCAAGAAGTCTAGATTGATTATCATTTTATTTCAGTATCATATGAGGTGAATTTTAGCAGTAGCTCGTTTTGTAAGCTTACGGTTATTTGGAGCACATATCTCGGGTACATTAAGAACTAACTTGCTAAGCTCCCTTATTCCAGCTTTAGAACCATACATGGCCTGAAACTTCATCTGCAGACTTGTATGGATACGTTGGAAAGCTCTAGAAAGACAGTGATAGATAGGCTTCTAGAGATTGACCAGACTATGGAGAAACCAAAATTGGAGGATATTGAGCGTATTGGTAACTGCAAGTATTGTCTGAAGAGAGATGATGGCCCTACTTGTATATATTGTGAGCTAGATAAACTATTTCAGGTATGCTTCTTTTGTTTGTGCGCGTTTACATGAAGTTTAACCAGTATTAATCTTAGCTGTCACCATCATCGTGTATTGTAATATCATTACAGGAATATAATGCTAGGCTATTCAGTCTTAAGAAATCTCGTAGGGGAGTAATGGAACATGCGTCTGCAGAAGAGATAGTAGATTTGCAGAAGAAGAGATCTGCCCTTAATCTTTTCTTTGTTGGTTTGTCATCGAGAAACAAGGATCTAAATGCACCATATGGTGATAACGAAGATCCCACCAAAAGAAATGCTGGTGACGCCGTGGTTGTAAGTTACTTATTCCAGTTTGAATTTTGTTTTATTCCAATAAGTCTTTGAATTCATTACTTAGAAGAAAGCATAACCACACTTACATTTAAAGTTATTGATAATTGATATGGTGTTCTCTAATAATATATGCTTTTGCAGCGATAGTCTCTGTCTGATACCATGCCCATTATGTTTTGACTTTTGAGTATAGGTTTCAAAATCTCCGTCTGAGACTGAAATAGTTCTTGGAGTGATAAGAAACCATTGCAAAACTTATTTAGACAGGGAAAGCAAATTGGCAGCCACAAAACATTTGCATACCCTTGAGGTATTACCCGAGAGATCTCCTACTTTGCTTGCATAGAGAAAGGGGAACATGAATCCTTCTCTTTCAAGTTCCAACAAGATCTGACATTCCAATTTTGCTTATATGATTAAGGTGATGCGAAAGGAATATGCCCATGCAAGGGCCTTGGCTAGGGCTCAAGCTCACCTCCTACGTGCCTACGATGAGATCAAGATGGCAACAATGAGACTGCAGCTTAGAGAATCTGAAGATGATACTTCGATTTATGCTTTGAGCCTGAATGAGTTAGACGCTGCTAGTGTGCAGAACACAAATGATAAATTTTTGGCTCAATCCTCGTTGCTTAGTATTAAAGGGAAACTTCGTTATTTGAAGGTAAATCTGTACCTTGGTGTTGTTATTAGCCTACCTCCTGTTTATATCATGCAGATAAGTAATTGCTACTTAGAAGTTTACATGGAGAGTGACGCTTGATGACATTTGTTTTGGATTCCAACCCCAGAGCTTTAACCCTTTCAAATATGTAGTCACAAGAAGCTTTAGTTATGGCTTCATGATTAAGTTCCTCTTTGTCGCTAGACTTTAGGTCGCTTGAAAAATCTTGCATGCTTATCCTTTCAATCTTTGACTTTGCATATCATATAAACAAATCTTTTTTCCTTTTTCCATTTCAGGGTTTGATGAAATCCAAACAGAAACAAGAATCCGATAGTCCAGTTCATTCTTCGCCAAAACGGGAAACAGTTAAGGATTTAGCTCTTGTTGAAAAGAAAGGCGAAAACCTTTTGAAGCCTGAGGAAGCATGCCCGATTTGTCATGAAATTCTACGGAATCAGAAGATGGTTTTCCAGTGTGGACACAGCACTTGCTGTAACTGTAAATACTTGACCTCTTTTGTTTGCTTGATCATAAGAATTTAAAATTCTCTTGCACACATATATACTCACTGTTAGCGCGCCGCAGATTTTTATTTCTGTCTCGTTCATCTTTGACTGAATAACTACTTAATACATCTTTCTAAACCATACTTTAGAATGTTAACAATATCTTATTCTTTATGTTCATCCATGTAGGTTTTTTTGCCATGACTGAGCGCAGATCAAGTCACGAAACTCTGCGAAAGTGGGTGATGTGTCCAATATGCAGGCAGCATACAGATGTTAGAAATATTGCATATGCTGATGACAGTCGGAATGGTTCTTCGTCTTCTTCAGATCAAGATCACAAAGAAAACGAAGCATCATTGGCTGTTCAAGGTTCATATGGAACAAAGGTTAGCTTCCTTGCTTCTTAGATTCGTGCATTAGAATTTAGAAGTAATTTATTTTCTCATCTGTTGTTTTGGGGTAGATTGAAGCTATTACTAGAAGAATCTTATGGATCAAGTCAAGCGACCCACAAGCGAAGGTTCTTGTTTTCTCCAGCTGGAACGATGTTCTTGATGTGTTACAGCATGCCTTAGCTGCCAACAGCATCACCTTCGTCCGGATGAAAGGAGGCAGGTAATGTAGCGACAATTTCAATCGGGAAATTCATTAAAAGTGTTACATAGATGGGTTAAGGGAGTTATATAACGTTGATTCCATGGAATTGCAGGAAATCACAGACAGCCATTAGCAAATTCAAGGAGATCGAGAAAGAAACTCAAATGACAAACTCCCATAAAAAAGAGGCAAAATCGATCCAAGTGCTATTGCTCTTGGTGCAGCATGGTGCCAACGGTCTTAATCTTTTAGAAGCACAGCATGTTATTCTGGTGGAACCACTTCTAAATCCTGCTGCAGAAGCGCAAGCTGTTGGGCGTGTTCACCGGATTGGACAAGAGAAGCCTACTCTAGTTCATCGTTTCTTGGTTTGTGAATGTTCCTCGTTTCCTCATCAAGATTCTGCCTCTATCTGATTTCCATTGATCTTGACCTCTCTCTTTTTGGGGGAACTAGGTAACGGGCACGGTGGAAGAGAGCATTTACAAGCTGAATAGGAGTAAGAACGCACAGACAAACTCATTCACCAGCAGGAATACAAAGAATAAAGATCAAGAGTTTCTGACGCTAAGAGATCTTGAATCTCTATTTGCTTCACCAGCAGCAAAAGCAGCAGAGACAGAAGAAAACCCCGGAGAAAGACGGACAAATCTGAGAGATCTACCGCCCTCAGTTGCAGCAGCCATAGCAGCCGAGAGGAGAATGAACGAAGGCAATGCATCATCATCAACTATAAACGCATCATGATTGGTTCCTGACAAATTGGCTGTCTTGGAGCTGCTCTTGTCTGTACATAAGATAGTGAAGAGACAAGTAGTCCAAAAATACACTGCTTCTCTTCTGTGTAGTCAACATTCATCATGGATACTTAACCTCTCACACTTTCAGATAGGCTTAGGCAAATGAACAAGAGTTTTTTTTTTTAACTCATTCAGAAGTGACCAAAGAGTTTACTAATGCATAATTGATATTTGATTTAATGCTTTTAGGAATATAGTGACAAGATTTGCTAGAATTTCTAACATTATTGGAATTTCTTTTAGTATTTTATTTGATGTGAAGTGTTTAAGGAGATAACAATTGTGGGTAAAGGTGAAGGCAAGGGTCCGACCTCTCAAGCTCAACAATCTCAATCATCATCATAACTCTCCTTCGTATGATCCCTGCTTTTGTATACTCGCACATGGAAACAACAACATATGATCAAATTCAAAATGCCTCTTTTCTGATAATTTGGACTGTTTTTTTGTGTATTATAACATTTGCGAAGACAAAAAGTCTACATTGAAGAAATGAAACCACAAAGCCCCAGAAAAGAACCAAAATTTATTCAGCTCCACGCCAAAGATGCGAAAATAAACTTGGAAACTGGAAAACTCTCACTTTGTCTTGAATCTTGGTGACTTCTCACTTTTCTTCAGGTTGGGGTTTGTCAATGAATGTCTTCTTTATCCAACCAAATGGCTGTGATAATAAAGAATATGTCAGATACACAACAAAATGAGATTTGAAGCTAAGATTCGAGAAAACGATCACCAGCTTAAGGCACTAATCTCTTCATAACATCAAACCACAAGATTATGCACACTGTGACTGTCAGTAACGATAGATGTAATGCTTAATAGAATTCGTTAGATTCAAACTTTTACACAAAGATAGAAACGAGTACACGATTCTATCCTCCTAAAGTTGTGACTGCGTGAAGCAACGAGCAATATAAGCTAAAGATTGTAGCACCTCGAAGCAAAGCATTTAAAACAGGCGACTAATCTGAATGAAATCGAAATGAAAAACTTGTACATGTAAATGAACCTAGAAGCAAAGTATTAGATATTACCATCTACAACGAAATCACAAAATCAAAATCAACCCTTTCATGAAAAGCAATTCCAGTATATGCAAACGATGCAGTCTATAATGGTGCTCATAAAATTACAACCTTTCGGGATAATATCTAACGAGATCGATGCAAGTGCCAAAATTTCAAAGTGTTCATCAATCATCTTTCATCCAAAATCAAGCCAGCAATTTCACCAGAGACGCAACGTAAAGCTAAAAGGATAGATCCTCGATCAGGAACCGAATCCATGAAACCCAATCCGAAGGCTAAAGTTATACAAGAGATCGAGAGAAAGAGGCAGATGGGCTTACTTGGACGACCCAGATGGCGCCGGCGCCGGCGGCGATTCCCCATCCTACGGCGGCCTGGATATCCGCCGATTGGATCTTTGGCTTCGCGACCTTGATCACACCTAATACCATAACTGCTTCGATTTCTCTCTCTCTCTCGTTCGCTATCAAATCGATTCAACCCCACAAAGATCCTTAACGAAATGACGATAATCCATGGGACGAATTTTTTTACATTAAAGGGGGTTCTTTAGACCTAGTCAAAAACGTCACTTTTTACACTTCATGCCGTTCTACGTTTAAACACCTGAACAACATGCCGTTTTCTACTCTTTTTAGTGAAGAAACCTATATCAGACAAGTCAATGTCACACTTCCATTTCCTTTATGCTTTTAGCCATTTAAACTCTTCAATGTTAACATTGATTTCAGAAATCATGGAAAGGGATAAAGCTCATACAGAGAGCAACTGGTTTTGACTCAAATCTATGTCGAAGAACCAAGCTTCGCATTGCTCTTCCTTGCACTATCTGGTTTAGTGGCAGGTCGACGACCCTTGTCTGGACCACCGATTACGCCCCATTCTTCAAACTGCGTCTGTCTAGCTCTTGCCCTTTCTTTCTCCTCTTCGGATTTCTTGGAGTAACAGTAAGGACAAGAAACACCATACTCATACTCTGGTGCTTCCATGTCTTCATCACTTATAGGTTGCTTGCATCCGTAGCAGAGTTTATGGGTTCCTTGAACTAAACCATGTTCCACAGATACACGCTTGTCAAACACAAAGCATTCGCCTTCCCATAAACTCTCTGTTTTAGGGACTTCCTCGAGATACTTCAATATCCCACCTTTCAGATGATATACCTGATAAGAAAATGTTCGATCTTAAAGTAGCTCTAAAACTCACAGATCAATGGATGATATTATATTACGTTACCTCTTCGAAACCTTGGCTCAGAAGAAAGCTTGAAGCTTTTTCACATCTGATTCCTCCAGTGCAGTACATAGCAATCCGTGGCAGTGTCTTCGGTTTGTCTTCTTTCTCGGTGATTTCAGAAAAATCCTCCTTCTCCACCTTTGCTTGTGTTTTATTACTGTCTTGTTTCAATGCAAATTGATTCTCCACCCAAGATGGGAAATTTCTGAAAGCCGTGGTACATGGATCTACAGCTCCTTTAAACTTCCCAATTCTGGTCTCATATGTATTGCGCACATCGATCACTACCTGAAACACAAAAGATCTGATATCATCAATATACATACCAGAACATTTTAAACAAGAGTGAGCAGAGACCAAACACAAATACGGGAAAGTGATTTGAGTCCGAAGTGTAAAACAGTTATCAAATCTTTTATTCGAATTTCACTTTGTTCTTGACTAAACTTGAAACAAGATAGTTAAAAGAGCTCTCACAGTTTCTGGATCACTGATCAATTCATTCCATTCCTCAGGGCTCACATATGTTCCAACTCTTTCAATTGGCGAAACACTGGGCATTCCGAGCGTAACAATCTGCACAGACAATTACAAAAGAAAACAACTCTTACACAATCTACAAAACTCCAGTCTTAAACTTCAAAGACGAGAGAGTGTACCTCTTTCTTGAGTTTGACCCTAACATGGTCCCATCTAAACGGAGCATCTTCACCAGCTGAAAGAGGAGAGCTACTGCTATGTCCATGGTGGATAGCTTCTTGTTCAGGACTCACAGGTGTCTCCACTTGCCTCAAACCATTCAATCTGATATCTCTCTGTATAAATGCCAAGACTCTCTCCACTGATTCACGAATCCCACATATACTTCCATTGATCCCCTCTGGTGCAAGAATGATTCCACCTGAAACACGCTAATGAAACACGCCTATCTATTACCCCTTCAAATCTAAACCAAATTTTTGTGCTTCATAAACAAAAGACTTGTATTAGAAAGACATTAAATATCTATACTTTGATTGAGATAAGAAGAAATTGGCATACCAATTCTTCGCAGAGATCCTTGAGGGGTTTTCTGAAATCAGCATGGTCAGGAAAATCAGCGAATTTGTAGAACGAAACCACAACGAGCGATCCTAATTCCGACGACCCGCAAGATTCTGGTCTGCTCGAAAAACACTGCGAAGTAGTAGCCATGCTTTGTCTAATAGCTCCGGCGCTCGAACAAGCCACCGTGGATTTGAG